AAAAAAAAAAAAAAAAAAAGGCAGGAACCTAAATTCTGAGACCAAATGTAAAAGTCAGATTTGGTGGTTCTCAGTGACAATGGGGAATCTCCAAGGGGTGGGATGGGGAGGAGTGGGGTGGTCAGAGATGGTTTCTCTTGTTGGCTTTTATGTCTCACTGATTTTCATCTTCCACATCCTGCAGCGCTTCTTTATTCTGCTCTTCACCTGCAAGAAGACAAAATTATTCATATTGACTAACTCAGGCTAAATAGTAGTCATAAACATGTCATTACAAGCATAAGGAATCCTTACATTTGCTACAATTGTTGTGACACAGACAGGCAAAGGCTATTTATCCTTCACACCTAAGAAGCCCAAATGAAGAAGGGCTACTGATCATGGTCCTGAAACTGTTCATAGTCAAAACGAAGGAGGGGTGGGATGGGGGACAGGATGAGGACGGGACAGACTCAGACCTGATGCACAAAGTCAATGCTTTAAAAGGCTCTCAAAATGTACAACCCAAGTAATTGTATTCTTAAAATCTATTTTGAAGTTTTCATGTATACCTTGGGTCAAAATACTCTCTCAATAACCTCACTTCTTCAAAACTCCAGAGTATTTTGTTTAGTATCAGAAATGCTTTAAAAAAACACACACACAAACCAAAAACATGGACTGAGTAGTAAAATGCTCCAAAGGCATTCTATAGTGTTCAATATTTGTATCTTGGTCAGATACATCAAACTACAACCAGATTCCTCAATTCACAGTGAAACTGCATGCTCAAAGTAAACCAACCAGACTGCTGAGGTTATTAAAGAAGAGCATTTGGACCAGTTCTCTCATGCTGTTTCTCTTTAAACATAACAATTAGCCTAGGGTGTTCCAACTGCTCTGACATGCAACAGAAAGCCAGTCTAGTTCACTGGTGGGTCATTTACCTGAAGCATCAAACAAATCAGCCATAATAAAGCATGCAGAGGCTTTCAATAAAATAGGTAAAAAATTATCTTCTTTTGTATTTTAAACAAATCACATAATGCCTATATAGTTAATAGTCTGAATAAAAACAAATCAAGAACCAATTAATGGGTGTGAGGGTACAGCTCAGTAGTAGACTGTGCTTAACATTCACAAGGTCCTGGTTTCAATCCCCAGTACCACATAAAAAATATTAAGATACTATCTATATATTTTTTTTTTTTTGGGTGGGGGGAGACACCCAAGAATCAAACTCAGGACCTCAGGCTTGCCAGGCAGGTGCTGCACCACTGAGCTAAATCCTCAGTCCAATATCTAAAACTACTGAGAACAAATTTTAATAGTTGAAATGAGACCCACCCACTCATAAACCCTGATTGATCAGGTTGGACAAGTAACACTAAGACTGGCTGCCTATCAGCATGAAGCATTTTCATTCAAAAACTTTTACGCCTTCAATATGAAAATAAATGTTACCACAGCATTAAGAATTAAAGACATATGTAACTATGAAAACTTACTTCAAGCACATGAAGATTTTTGACTTGGTACATACAAAAGAACATGCAACGACAAAAATAACCATCAAGAAGTGAGAGATAGCCAATTGTTCCCCCAAAGAACAATAATGAATTCAAACTGGGAAACAAAAAAGAGTCACATTCATTCCCATTTTTAACAGGAATACACTGCCAAAATACAGTTAACATACAACACTAGAACCCACTCTAACTCATCCATAAACAACCATTGCTTTGCCAGAAGTTCCAAGTAATTTTGGCATAAAAGTCATCTAAGTCACATCCAACCATACACAGGTAGGCAGGGGTAGCAGGCCACAATAGATGTCTTAGAAGGTTTAGCACCTTGGAATGTAGAACAGCCAGTTTTATAAGCAACAGGATGATAATGCAGGCATGATTAGTGAAGAACCAAAACCAAAAAGCAAATTCACTGTGCCATGATAATGACTTACAAAGTAGAGTTTTTAGGAAAGGAAGAGTTGGATTTTCCTTTAGGAATCTATATTGTAAGGAGAAAGGGAGGGAGAACAATAATATGAAAGCAACATTACAAGAAAAGTAAACCAAGAGAGCAGGACAAAGGAAAACATCAATGACATAGCCATCAGATTTTAGTTTTATACTTTGCATAAAATTCAGTCTAAAAAATAAATTGCTCAATTCTTCCTTTTACTACTAATAAAATGTGATAATACCCAAAGGTATATAGGAGAAAAAAGAACTTCCCTGGTAGGCAATTCTTTGCCTGTTATTTCTGTTTTTCCACTAAAGGGAGGGACTGGCAGGTAGAACTCACATTTCCTTTCTATGGACATGTGTCTTTGAAATAAATTATATATATATTTTCAATGCACTTTGACAAACATTTTTTTCCTGTATTAAAGACATTCAAAAAAATAAAAATTAAAAAGAAAAAAAGACATTCAAGTTTCAGCCAGGCATGGTGGCTCATGCCTCTAATCCCAGCACTAGGGAGGCTGAGGCAGGAGGATCGGTGCAGGTTCAAGCCCAGCCTGGGCTACAAAGTGAGCTCAAGGCCAACGTGAACTGCATAGTGAGACCCTGTCTCAAAAAGACCTAAAAAAAAAAAAAAAAAAAAAAAAAGACATTCAAGTTTCTAAAAATGTACTCCTTTTCTTTGGAAACCTTTCAAAATGCCTTATACTTTTTCAGCCTATAATAAAAAAGGAGAAAGCCTAGACCTAAATGATCCATAAACTAAATGAAAGTAAAACTACAAATTCAGTAACAATTCTTACATTACTTAGTATTAAATCTATGTCCCAAAACCAATTTAATAAAATATATAGTACTAAGAATTTTTAGCAAAACTAGTAAATAATTTCCTAGCTTCCATTTTAACAGCAAACTCTATTAAACTACCTTGCTGATGCTCACACCTGTAGTCCCAGCACTTGGCATGAGACAAATGGATCACCTTGAGTTCAAGTCCAGCCTGGGTTACACAATAATTCAAGGCCAGCCTGGGGCTGGGGATTCAGCTCAGCAGCATACCACCTGCCTGACAAGCATGTGGTTCTGAGTTCAATTCCCAGTATCATAAAAAATAGAATAACGTAACAATAAGCAAGGCCAGCCTGAGCTACATAACAAGACCCAGCCTCAAAAAACAAAAAAACTGAAAACAAAAACTAATCATGCTACTTCACTGCAAGTATTTTAAAACTAAAACTACCTAATTTAATAAATTTAAAGCAGCAGTGTTTTAATCAGTTTTATAGTCTGAATGACATGAAGTAATTAAATTTTTCTTAATTACAAAAAGTATTCCAGGATTAAAAGATAAACCACATCCTAAAATGTAACACCTCTGTACAAAGAATCATCCCAACTATGAATATGTAAGCAGTTAAAGGTAGTAGTCCATTTTTAAATAATCCATATATGTTAAAACTTAAAGACTACTTTAGTTCTATTTAAATAAAAAACATTCTACCTTGATCAACTCATGGTTATCAGTGATAATGACCTAAAGAATTAGAAAATATAAAAATTTCATTCATTTTATAAATTAGCTATTTAAGTTCTCTAATGTCTGAAAAGATGCATTATACACCTCAGGTCACACACCTATAAATATTGTACATGTCTCCAGCGGTGGGAAGGGTAGTTCCCTCAGGACAAAGTAGTATTATTTAACAAGCCTCTTTACATGCTTTCCTTTTATTTTCTTGAAAACACAGAGATGCAGTACTGCTCTCCTCTGAGCTGTGGGGTGACTATGTACAGTCTGTAGCAGTTTCTGACCATTCTTGACAGTTTCTATTACAATATTTTAAGCTAGAAGAACCTAAGTCATCAGGCTTAAAGACAGTAAATGAGCTTTAGGCTCCAAGGACTGTTAATGATTGTCTGACGTGCTACACACAAAAAAAAAACTCTGTAGCTCCACCTGAACTGCTGGAAAAGTGAGTAGGTCACATAGCACATCTCTCATACCAATCCTGATCCTGCCAAATATATAAACACTTCATAAAAATTTACAAGTTGAGCCACCTAACAATTCTCATATTAGCAACACAACCTAAAATTAGTCAGAATTTTTAGTCTTTTCAGAGGAAAGAACATGACAACACTTTCACTTTTTATAAGTATGTAACATTTCCAAACACAACACAGCATGTTGGTTTGACTAGAGAACGTGGTCTCAAGTAATGTCATATACACTGTAGTTTGAGCAACACTCTTAAAGGAACTACAATTAAAACCAAAAAAATTCCTCCTTCCAAATTCTACCACCACCACACCAACAAAAAAAAATCCCACAATGATCACAGTATACTGTGACCTACCCTGTGGGATAGGTCGGGCATATCACATGCTAAGCAAGCGCAAGGCCCAGGTTCAATCTAAAGGGGGGAGAGGAATGATTTTTGAAAGTAAGGATAACAAAGTTGAGCTTATATCTTTAAAATAAAAAATTACATGTTTCCCAAATCAGAATCTATAACACAATCTAGCAACTGTATAGAATTCCTACCCAACTAAATATTACCTACCAAAAATAGGTTGCATTAGAGACCTCTTAAATGAGGACCTAGGACTAGGTACAGTGGCATACAGTTGTAATCCCAACACTTGGGAGGCTCTGGCAGGAGGATCACTGGAAATTTAAGGCCATCCTGAATTACACAGCAAGAAACTGTCTCAAGGGAATGAAGGAAGAGAGGGGCAGTTAGGTAAAGAAGAAAGGAAAGGACAGAAGGATGGACAGACGGCCCAACCTAGGGACAAGATAGGTCATTTCCCTATAGAATCCAACAGGGAAA